GCTCCCCAACCACTTTCTTCGATTCATCGCGCTTTTTCCACCTCTGGCGGTGGAGGTGGAGAAGAGCGACGTGGAACGTGGGTGGAACAATCGGAGGCTAGCCGCGAGCACCGACGAGCAAGCGATGATCTTCCAAGATTTCGACCTCCGCTCTTACTTTTGCGAACGAAATTCGTAATGTTGATTTTCAAGAAACAGGCGGGATTATATCCGTGGGTGATCGAACGATTAGTATCGTCAGGTGGATGGATTCCGTCAAGAATTTTCGCGAAAGGTAAACACGTTGCGACGATAAATCAGGTTACGCGTTGCGAAAGGTGTATTTAAATAAATGAGAGACGAATAATTCGACGATGGATCTTCTTGGCTTTGCGACAGGTGCTATTTATCTCGGTGGCTGCGATTGTCCTGTAATAAAAAAGATCCGTGTCGATATAGGGAATTCGTGCGCTTATTTTCGAGATTCGTGCGCGCTCGATGAACACGTATTCCGCGCTATACTTTCACCTTTCACGGTATAATCACACCTTTGTCAATTAGCGTGAGCAAGTGGGCGGTTAATTATGACAAAGACACGTTGAAGCACCACTCTCTTGGGGAAGAGGCCGAGTCCGTTCTGGGCGTGCACGATTTTATTATGCATTCCCTCGCGTTTCTGCCGCGCAAGCTTCAATTATAAACTCTTCCACAGCTTCCAATTTACGAACGGATCGATGCGAGCGTAAAGAAATAATTACACGTTCTCGAGCGCGTTAATCCCTAACAAATTGTCGTTCTCCTTCTTAATAATAAGAACTCTGAAACCCCGTGATATCTTATCTCGTCTCAACCAACCAACTTTCCTCCTTTCCCCGCGAATTCCATCCTTCGCACGTTACAAATTTCCGCGTGGAGAAATTTTTTGTGCAAAATTTAATTTCGTCACGGACGAATACCGTGTGTGTACGGTACATTGATAAACGCGTGGAGGGAAAAATCTTAATCCACGATTAATTGGTACCAGAGAGAGAGAGAGTACCTCTAATCTCCGTTTCGCCGCGCGAAACCGGAAATTTAATTGAAAACTCGCGTCTAACGAGTTCCGCGATGCGGGTGGCATGTCCACCCACCCACCTGACTCGTCCTCGTGCACGCGCTTTCAAGGGAACGCGTGTTCCACCATATTTCTCCAACGCTCGCCGTCCGGCTGATCGTGCAATATATACGATAATCGATGATGCTGCACGACAGGTTACCAGAACCGCGATTCATCAACCGACCGAACCTTCGATCGATTTCGACCGCTTTTTCTTCCCCCCATTCTCTTGCCGTTAATTAATATTATCCATCAATTGTTCAACCATCGAATCCGCGCCAACTGCTGATTGAACCTCGACGAGTGAATAGATTTTTCGAAATAATTTTTACTTTTATCAAAAAATTATATCTCGAGCGCGTAAAACTTCCTCCGGAGGAGGAAATTTCGAATAAAGAAGACGAATCGCTTCGCATTGAAACGCACGCGCGATATATACGAAACGACACTGTGCTGCTTGCTAAAACTTGTCAAAACGCGGCGGCGTCCGTTGCGCGCATTAATTCACCGCCACCCGAGTGAATTAATCGTGCGCGACTCGTGAACCGCCGATTCCCACTTATCTCCGTTTCGCTGTTCGATCCGCTGGCAGCCGGGCCATTAATGTCCGCCTATTATCCCTCAATTTGCCAGATTCGAAAAATCCACGGTACTAAACTCCGCTCATAAATCGGCGGATTAAACCCGCGGCGTTTAACATTATCAATTATCCCCCTCGAGTGTACACCCGGGGGCCGGGTCATCGAGGCGTGTTTGCGCGAGCGCGAGAGAGAAAGGAGTTGGCGAGGGGAGGGGAGGGAGGAGAAATAGGGAGAAGGAAAGAGCGGTTGAAACAGCGTTCGGTCGAACGCGCTTCAGGGGTTAACCTTCGCGTGGGCGAGGCGACGATGGAAACAAGAGGAGGGAATAGATTAAATTTTAACCCTTTTTCGAACCAACGATTCTCAGCTGAGATTTCGCGAATTGAACTCGTGCGCGAAACTTTTATATTTTTAACATTTTACCCGTTATTCTTATTTTTCACTTTCTCTTGCTACATCTCTATTTTCCTTCCCTCTATCGCCAATTTCTCAACGAATAGATGTAATTTCGTTATTTAATAAAACTTAGAAAACTCAGAAAAACTTTGAAAATAATATTTCTATACGGCTGTCAAACTTGATTAACTAACGTCGAAAATGTAGTTCGATCCGCGATCGAATTTCGTGTAAAACAAATCTAATCATTCTACGGTATACGAATATATTCGTGAGGCGATATTTCATAAAAATCAAGCGTAAATAAGCAATGTCGCCGTTCGAATTATCGAACCGGGTGATGTCTCAGAGTCATTGTTGGAGGGTTAAGGAACGAGGCTCGTCGCGGTAGCACGCTTCCCGAGTCGAGTCGAATATTTAGACACGTGGAAAGGAAAACTTTGTGATCGTATTGGGCAAAAGTTAAATGGCCTGCGAGAGAACGAACTTGGCGATCGAGAGAGAGAGAGAGAGAGAGAGAAAGAGAGATATCTCGAAGCAAAAGGCTAATTAAGCGAAACGGGTAGAAAGGTAGGGAAATTACGGTTAATAATAGCGCGCTCTGTTACCCGCGCGCGACTAGCCGATCGGCCGTGTTCGGTAACGATTGCTCCCCGATACGATTGGATCCCCGCGAGATCTCTCCGCCGATAACACGAGTGACGAGGGCCAGAGATGGTATCTGTATCGAGGGATTTTATATTGAAATTTTCCACGCAGGATTCCGAGGGGGGGGAACGCGTCGAGACGATCGAGTTAGATGTACTCTCGAACGGAAAGAAGCGCGATTACAATGATTAATTCTTCTTATTATTACTATTAATTCGGAACTCGTTCAAGTCGAAAAGAGAAAGAAGCGTGGAACGAGGTTGGAGAAAAGAGCGACCGTGTCAATCGTCGGTATTTACGAGGCCACGAATTGAAAGAGGTCGGCGCGGTGATATACGAGGGTTCGATTCAATTAAAAATCAATCTCCCCGACGATCCATCAAATCCACGAAACACGAGGAGGAGGGGCAGCAGCGCGGTGCTCGTTTTCCAGTCGTGCATCTTCGGGTTCGAGCGCGTTTCTGTCGGATGGCGCGCGCCTCGTGCGGCATAAACGGCCGTTTGCATAAATCTCCGGCTCGTTGATTCACGACCAACAACCGAGGGATACAACTCGCGTGCGTGCGTGCGTGCGTGAGTGCGTTACGCAATATTCCGCCGCCGCATCGGCCGTTGTCCACTGAAATCGATCGATCATCTCTCGAATACCTAACGATTTTCTTTGGGGGAAACATCGATTACAAGTACCCTTGTCTCCGATTCCTTTTCTCGTTCTCGATTTATTTCGAAAGGAAGATAAGAATTTCTTCCTTTTCTCGCCCATTAGATCGTTGTAGATCACTCTTCTTTTGATCGCATTTCTTGCAATCTTAGGATCGCAGCAGAGTCTGTATGGGATTCTCGCTTCTGCAAATATCCTCCTCTTTTTTTCTTCGATCAATCGCCGTGAAACCGGTTTCCCGAATAATAATACACATCCGTGTCTCCCTCGAATCGCGTACACGAGTCTCGTGACCGATGCGAATTTATCGAATTCCCTAGCCAAGTTTTCGCTTGGAGGGGAGGGACAACGTTTCGAGAACGTAAACTGTGTCCATCGGTGGACGTAGATAAGATGCGGACACCGGCGCGACACGGCGATGCGAAAAAAGAAAAAAAGAAAAAGAAACGAGACGGCGCGAGAAGTCGTAATTAAGGAAGAGAATTCGGAGGAAGGGAAGGGAGGAAGTTTGATTGAATTATAAAACGCCTCCGTGTAGGGGTACACTTACGCGGACCGTTTAATCGCATTGACCACGATCTGGCTCGTGTTTCGTGGGAGAGAATCCTTTCCCTCCCCGGAACAAATTGCGAGTAACGAGTACTCGAAATTACGCGGATTACGACCGTTTATCGACCATTACCACGTAACAAGGTGAGCCTTGGAAATTACAATTTTACATCGGTTGCGATAATCGAACGAAAAGATAGCGGCGGTCAAAAGTTGAACCACTCCGTGTTCCAAGTCCGCTTATAACCTCGATCGATCCATCCATCCATTACGCGGATTAATTAGTAACAGCCACGGACGTTTAACGTGCTCGTCGGCCATGGGTCGTTGCAACGATGCGCAACGTAGCGATCGTGGTGTCACGGGGTCGAAGATCGTAGAAAAACATGTACATTCTGCAGCCAATAGGAATCGCGGTGGATATCGACACGAGTTTTCAACAACGATAGATTTTTTTTTTTTAGAGCCAGTCGAAGCCGTGTGTAGATATTATTATTTTCTTTCGTAATCACAAAGTTGCAAAACGTTGTCCGACACGATTCATTTTTATATTCTGAGAAACCGTTTACGTTTCAAGGATACGTATCGCGAAAAAAGTTTAATCGATCCAAGGATAATTGCGCGTAATTGCCCGCGAAACGATCGAATTTTCAGATCCCGATCTTTTTGAAACCCAAGAAACGTACACTTTGCGGGTTAACAGAGCTAATATTAACGAGAAATTTACGAGGGGGAGGGCAATGTATATTTAAATAATATACGCATTGGAAAAATTGGCGTTTAATAACGACTCACTTTCGATCCCCACTCGACGCACGCTTTTATTCCACCGAATTCTAGAACCGTACACGGATGGATAATCTACGCAATTCCACGAAATATGTATATTTATAATCAGATATATATATATATATATATAATTAAAGGGAAACGAATTATTTTCCACGTGTTTACGCGTGGTAAAGGTGAAAGGTAAATTAACACGATCCATCGATCGGATTACGAAAATTCTTGACGCGTGAACGAAGGAGATAAGAGATAAGGTCGTCGAGTCGGCTCGATTAATATTGCATCGATTTTTGTTTTGCAGTGTCGCCGCCTGTGGTCGAAACAGCGTGGGATAGAAACCGGGAGCGTGAGCGCGAGAGAGTGCGGGAGAGGAGCACGGAGAACGAGCACAGGCAGCTAGACAGAGAATCGGGGATAAGGGAGAGGGAGACGAGGGATCGGGAGAAGGATCGCGACAGGGAGAGGCAAAGGGACAGGGATAGAGAGCGGGACGTGTCGGTCCGCATGATGGAACCGCTCGATCCTGTCTTCGTCTCCCCCTCGGCGGCCCTCCTCGCGTTGCAGAGGATAAAGGAAACGTCCCTGTAAGTACCCTTTTACCGATCGTATCGCCCCACTTTTCTTTTTTCCTTTCTTTCCACGCTCTTGACACACGTGTAGCAACGCGCACCTTCTTCTTCCCACTACGTATCTCGGCATCCTTGCCTAGGACGTTTGTTCCTTCCTCTCTTCGGCCGCGGGAACAAACAGGATGCGCTCTTCCATTGCTCGGTTGAAAGGAGTGTAAAAATCGTCGTTTATATATATCCGACCGATCGATCAATTCCATCAATTACATATTTTTTATAGAAGGATATTTGTTCGAATTTTTTCATCATCGAATCGACCAAGGATTTACATTATCCTGGACACGTCCGAGGAGTGACTTTATTATCGGTTTACAATCGGTGGAAAAACAGCGGGATATCGCGATGGCGTCATATTTCATCGAACGTACAACTACCACCACCACCAGCAACTCCGCCACGGCTCAGGGTTAATAGGACGAGATCGTGCACCCGCTGTAAATCTCGTTTAATTTGCTCTCTCGTGCGGTCCGCGAGTGTCTTTTCCATTGTGGAGCGGGGGAGGGGGCCGTCTCGGCGGAAAGGCGGCCGACGTTAGAAAACATAGTAATCTCGTGACACCCGGGTGCACGCTAACAAACCTCATTTCATACCACCATTTCTTTCCAACGTGTACGTGTGTGTGTGTGTGTGTGTGTTACTCCTCGAATCCGCGAAGACCAAGACGAGATCGAGTTTGAATAATCCTCGTCTCGTTCCGTGGCAGACGATGACAGACGATGACATAACGGTTTCATCCTTCCATCTTTCGATCCATCCTCCTCCTTCGGATCCACTCGTTTCAATGGTGCCAATGACTTTATCACGCGTTTTCTCGACAATCCTCAACTCTTTCCTCTCCAACCGAATTGGATGAATTGAATCGATGTCGCTCGTGTCGCTCGTTCCCTCGTGTTTCGATTATGGAAACTGTTTACCATCTAGAAACGATTCAGACTTCCGTTAACGATCCAATAAATCCAAATTCGACGTAAACTGTAAACCGGCGTTGTTGTCGTTCCCCCTTTTTTGGCGGATCGATTCCTAATAATGGGGAGGATCGTGGTCCGTAGATCACGCGTACCGTGAAATCGTCACCAGTAACCAGAGGATCGAGGCCTGTCTTCTCGTGTCCCAATGCCGTTAACCGATAGTTATACTTCGCGTTTCTCATAAATCTTGGCCGGCTCGGTTGTCCGTTTCCGTCCATGCGCGATGTTGCCGTTTGCACACGTTCGCGACTTCCACACGCGAGAATGTTGGCCGGCTACGCATCGTGTACACGCACCGTTGTACATCGGTACCCGCATGTCGGGGCCCTCCTGCGGAGGAACTGCCGCGAGCTTGCAGCGGCAATACTTCACGACAAATGTACTTTCCAGTTCCTCCTTTCCAGCGAATCGCGCGCGCGTGTTGTTACGACTTCGCGAACGAAACAATGATCCATTCGATAGCCCCTCCTCTTCCCTTCGTGTACGCGCCGCGGATTTCGAGGATGCCGATGGAATTATCGCGCGAATAAATGGCCGCCTGCATTGTTCCATTCGGAGTATTAATCGTCGGGGGATTATCGATTATTTGCCTGAAATTTTGTCTAAAAATCCCGTGGAAATTGGAAAATCGAACGACAGAGGATTTCCTTTCTTTCGAAGGGAGGGCGGATTACATCGCGAGTGGAAGCAGATTTATGCCAGTTTAAACGGGCGAGCTGCGGGTCTGGGACGAGCCTTCGTTCCCCTATGAAATACGACCTTCCCCCCTCCGACCGCGAGTGATACCATCGGTGCCGTTTCAAGCCTGAAACTTACGAATTCGGTTTTCTCGAGGACGCGACAGCTGGGAATAATAAGTTCACGCGTAAAAATTTCTCTTCTCGGTTGATTATTCGGGACGAGTTTATACGGTGGAAAGTAGGGTTCGCAACTTTGTTGTTACTCGAGGGAGCCGGTTTTCGCGGCAAAGATTTATTGGGACGCCCTTAAAATCTCGCCTCCGCTCCTCTCCGCGTTGTGCGAGCTTTAAATCTCGTTTAAATATAGCAAGGATTCGAGGAACGACGTCGTTTTCACCGGGCGGGGCAAATTGGCGCGTCGGGTGCATCGAATTCCTCGATACCTTAAATTATCGTTGAACGGTTACTCTCGGCAGGATCGAGAGACAATCGACCGAATTCGGCGGCGAAACGAGTTTCACCGGGTGTCGAGCCGGGCCAAGATCGATCGGTTCGACGCGCCTTCTTTTTAGCGAGACTCCAAGTTGAATAACCTGTGCATGTCGTTGGCGAGGAAACGATTTAGCCGATGATCGTTGGAGCGATCGGTCCACCGATCGCTCCAATCGTTAAAAGGAGAAATTTTCTTTATTATCCTTCTCTCTCCGTGCTCGAAATTCACGCAAGTCTCGATGTGTTTTTCTCTCTCTCTTTCTCTCTCTCTCTCTTCTTTTTCTCTTACGATTAGTCACTCGACCGATCAGGTTTAAGCGGTTTAAAATTGTAATGAATCGGCGCGTAAATCGCGAACGATAATGGAGTATCAACGTTTACCCCCGTTGGCCGCGGTATAATGGACAAATAATTCATGAATATGCATGGGAATGGAGTGCAAAATGGAGCACGTTTCGCTGAAGGGGCTCGTGATTTATGAACGCGTTTAAAGTATACTCGTTGCTACTATACACGCGCACGCACTAGCGACTTTAAAAAAAAAAAGAAAATACAATTACGTAATTAACGCTAAATGACCGTCGATTCAAAGCCTCTCGAAACCGCGAACTTTTAAATTACCTATTCTTTCCGCTTGCTCGATGATATATATGAGAAGAGAGAGAGAGAGAGAGAGAGAGAGAAAGAAAAGAAGAAATCGGCAAAGATTACGACCGCCACTTTTTTCCCTCGGCATCGGTTACATCGCAATACTCGAGATAAATTTTTTTCCTCCTAATGGGTATACCCACCCGACGTATTTGTTCACGTCGCGGACAATTTCGTTCGAACCGGTCATAACGCATCGATGAATAATGCATACCAAAAATTTCCCGTATAAATCGATCGTGATTTGTCGGATTCATCTCGGGCGGGATCGATCGGTAACTCGGAGGAGAGATAAAGTAACGAATGAAGACGTCTTATCCGTCGCCGAATCGGAACCGATCTTGAAATCCTCCGATTTCTTGCCACCCTCATCGATAATCAACGTCGCTGCGGGGATCGAGACGCGACGCAAAAAGGGAGGGGGAGGAACCACGATTGGGCGATTTTGTTCCGCGTTTCGAGGGATCGCTCGTTTGAAATTTCAGGGTGTTTCACAAGCGTCCGGCGCTCGCGAGCGGAATAGGGATCGGCGGGAGAGTGAACGCCGGCGTCGGAGGGAACGGCGGCGGCCTCGCGATGGACAACGAATGCGGCGACGCGTTGAAGAGGCGCAAGGTTCACAGATGCGACGTCGCCGGCTGCGACAAGGTGTACACCAAGAGCTCCCACCTCAAGGCCCACAAGAGGACCCATACCGGTAAGTTTGTCAAATTTAAACCGAATTAGACGCGTCCTTCCCATCCATAGATCGTCTTCCTTCTTCGCTTTTTCTTTTTTCCTTTTCCACGCTTAACTTAATCGAATCGAACGAAGCCAAGTTTCGAGAAAAATTAACCAACTGAAGAAAACTTGGTTTTATCCTTCTTGCCGATGATGATTCACCCACGTTGGTCATACCGATCACGGACGTAGAACGCCCCCGTAGTTTCGTCATCGCGGAGCCTCGTTTCCTCTCGCCACGAGGCGGATCGGTCGATCCAAGCAAGGTGACGGAGCGAGGCAACAATTAAACCTTTGAGGAAGAACCGGCAAGAAAGATACTCCTCTCGCGATACACCTCACAAATGGTGAATGGTAAAATTCTTCTTTTCGATTCGCGACATTAACGTGTCGTCCTGCCGGTCATTAGACCATCTTCCCACGAGTTGATCTCGACGAGTGTGTACAGCGTTATTAACAAATAGAATCTCTAGATCCGTCTCGATAACGATAATGCTCAACCGGAGGATCGTATAATATATAGCCAGGTACGGGCCAGGTTGTCGCCGTGGACGGGTCACGACCACGAGCCATTACTCATCGACCGCCTTTGATTCCACCTGGTGGAGAGAGAGCACAGAAGTTGATCTCGACGATTCGTTCGAATTTTTTATCGATACTCTGTGCGCGCACCTCGTCGAGGAAGGAAGAAGTCTGGATGGGTCGCCGAATGCCAAGCATATTCGTCGTAGAGCGCCATAGAGCGGCGGGTTTTTCATGAGGAGTCAGGGGTCTTGGACGAAAGAGTATGGCCTGGAGGCTTAGAAATTCGATAGTACGGGCAATGTGACCGTGAATGCTATCCATCGGGTACGCATTTTTAGAAGACGTTCCCCGCGTCGTTTCGTTGGTGCACACGTAGCAGCCGGCCATTTATTATCGCCTCGCGAGAGAGAGAAGGTGGAAGAGGTCGTGCCTTCTATACACATGTGTGTACACAGCGTGGAAGGAGCCGCGGCTCGAGGAATTTCCGGTGGATAGAGGCACCTTCGTGAAGGCATTGCCGCCGTCTACGGAGCGAAGAGGCGGCGGGGAGAGGGCGTGGTCGTGAGAACCAGGATCTTTTGTCTGGTCCATGGTTCAACCGAGACGCGGTGTAATCGCGGTGGTGCTCAACCTGGGCCCCCGAAGGAAAAATATCGCTTCGCGGTAGAATATAAATATTAGAACGCTTGATATTCGTAATTTTCAATGTTTTATTCGATATCTTCATCGGTCGCTCGTTGAAACATAAAGTAACGTGAAGACTCTTGTCCCATTTTTATCAATTTCTCTCTTCTTTTCTGGAACGACACGTATTTGTAGAAGCACTCGACGATGCGCGTAGATCGGATGGAGATGCGCGAAGAAGTTACATTATGAATTTTGCCAAAAATCGGGCGGAGGTTCTGAAATCTTCACTGGTACGAACGTGTCAGTTTGGGGGTCGTAATCTTCGCAAGCAGTCATGGTACAGATGGAACGTCCATTATCGGCACAGGTGCACGTGTTGCAACCGTCGAAGAAACTTTTACCCGGTATGCACATCGGTTTCTGGATCGCTTCGTCCCAGAAATTATACAAATTATGAAATTATATAAACGTGAACGAAAAAGTCTGTTAAATATCTTCGCGGTGGAAAAGAACTTACCGAGATCGATCGCAATGGCGTACAGGAACAAGAACGATTTAAGGAACATCTCTCTCGCTGTCTCTTTAACTCGCTACCTTTTTCCACTGTCACCTAGACCGTCATCCTCGGCCTTTATGTACCCTCGTGGTCGTCGACGTTACCACATCGACCTTTCCCCACTTTCTTCAAACTTGTTTATCGATCGTTCGATAATTTACATAGAATTCCCTCCACTTTGAGGCCGCTTAATATATATCGCTTTGGCGTTTCTATAATTTCTACACGCTTGTTAAAAAGGCGTCTATAAATAACACGTTTAGAGATTTCCATTAGAAATCCTGTTTCCTGTCCTGGCGATCGAAGGCCAGGTATCGAAACCATACGCTTAATACGTTTCCTCGGGCAAAAAAACTTTCTCAATTTTTCTCCTCTTATTGAAACGAAAATTTCCACGCGACATTCGACTCGACCCCGATGAAACGATTTTCTAAACGTTACTCGAAGCGATCCCTTAGAGGAAGAGCGCACAGTCCGTTTTATATTCGAACACGTTTCGCGCATTACGGGGTTCCATTGTCGTTTTACGAAATCCCGCGCGATCCACCGATACAAAAGGGCAGAAATGGCTATGGTATACGATAGAAACGGTACACACACACGTATATATATGGTAGAGCGGCGCTATAATAATAATTGTTTCAACGAGTGCGCGCCACGGTCGTAGAGACGTGGACCGGCGCGGTCTATCCATCATTCTAACACCACGGCATTATGCGCAGCCATCGAGATATCTTTACGGCGGCGGATACTGGCACTCTGGATGTGGGAAATGCCAATTCATTGATTATTGTAATTTCTACCATTCCAAAGCATAAATCGTTCCTACCTCGTTCGGATCTCGAGCCACACTCTGCTCCTCCGAGTGTTGGAATTTGTCTCGTATGAATAACCCATTGTATCCGAAAGGTCGCCGCGAAACGGGGTTATCAGAGGCGCCGTCGTACTTTTCCTCGATAATCTCGAACCTCGTACCGCTTCACGATACGCGTGATCGTCGGTGCTCGTCGATCGAAACCAGGGAGAGAGAGAGAGAGAGAGAGAGAGAAAGAGACGATTCGAATTTGGAAAATCATGGATTTTCCAATTTTGACAATGCGAAAATGTTCATCGTTGCGTTCACCTGCGTGCGATCACGATGAATATTCCCCTCCCAAAAAAACGAAGCCGAGCTAACCATGATTGATGATTCTCACGGCTCGAATACGGTACGAATTTGCATCGAATTTATATCGTGCCGCTCGCAAACTGTATAATGGAGTAATAGCGGTCCGCGGCTACCGATATCGTGTATCTTCATACACACACACACACGCGCCACGAACATTGAGGTAAGAGAAGGCGAAATATGTATTACGAGGATGCGGTAAATGCATCCCTTCGTAATAACGCTTTCACGATCCAATGATTGACGCCAAACATTCTGGCTACATCCCTCCTCCCCAATCGTTGCTAATAAATACTTAATCCTTCGATTATTATCCAAAAGTGTAATACGTTACGTTCCCGGGATAAAATTTCGCCTCTTGAAGCGAATATTTTATTTAGAACCGTGGCGTGACTGTTGATAGACAATAAGAGTGTTTCACCTCGCGTATTAATTAAGACGTATTAGCCTGAGCGGATAACGTAGCCGGTTCCGCGTGTCGAGGGGTAATACGCGTGTAGTTTATTCGCGAAATGAACGAGAAATCCTTCGAGTACCCGTGATTAACAATGCATTTATGCATCGCTGTTTCGAGAGATACGATCATCTTTCCGAGCATGATCCCGTGATTTCGAGGATCGAACACGGTTTTTTTTAATTAAATTTGTTCTTTTACCTCGGTGAGATTTCGACCCATTCTTCTTCCACCGGCAATTTGCCACAATTATCGGAATCGCGGTGATTATCCACCAGATTGGATCTTTATTGTCCTCTCTTTTTTCCCTTCTTCGAAATAAAGACACGTTTAGTTACCACGTTTAATTTTTCTTCTTTTTTTTTCTTTTTTTCCTCCAACACTGTTATTTTATAAACTCGAAAGCCATACTTTTCTCGAGATTCAATGATACGGAGCAGCAGTTTCCAACGGTAGCAACGTTTTCTCGAAATTTCTCATCGAAATTAAAATCTCAATTCCCAACGAGGAGGCGCGTTCGCAAATGTCCGCCACTTGGATATCTGGCCGATTATTCGATCCCCTTCTGAAACCGGCTCCTCCTCGAGAGTAATCCCAGCAGTAGCTCGTTTAATGGTGGCCCGTTGATGAATCGCCGCGGTTAATCGAAGCTTATTCGTCCCCCTCCCCGTGTACGTGTTATATTTTATTAAACCGCGATAACGGCGTTAAATAATGAATGGCTCGTAATGACCGCGATTAAATTGAATCGCGCGGCACCGGGTATTATTAACATTCGCCGCTGTATTTCTTGCACTGCTAACGAGCGTTGTTATTTGCAAGAAGCGGTACCACACCGCGGGAGTAGCTCCGAGGGAGCATTAGGCGGACACCATGCAGAGTTGACAGCGTCCTACCACCACTTGCTATTCCTTCTTCCCTCACGTTTTCTTCCTCCAACACCGATGCTCGATTACACCGACGTGCGTTATACCTTTCTCAACGTACGCTCGATCGGGATAAAAATTGTATGGAATTAGTTCGAGAGCGAGTGAATAGGAACTGGACGGAAATTTAAGATGCGATGATACACATCCGTGTTGGACGAGGTTGTTGTTTAGGTAAATTTCGATTCTTTGAGGTAAGAGAGAGAGAGAGAGAGAAGGAGGGGAGAGAGATTAGACTAAGCGAGTAAAAATCGAGGCATACGAGGTTGGAACAATCGCGCGATCTCTCTCAGGGTTCGTGAAGCATTCATCATTCGCAGGTGACGCGTGGAAAGTTTATTCATCTCGAGGGTAAGGTTCATTCATCTTTGCAGCACTTGTCGCCCGTATAATTGCGTATCAAGGAACTGTCTCGAGTCTCTGATAATTGCCAAAGATACATCCGACCGAGTTTCTTAATCACCCCTCTAGGAGGAGATCCTCCGACGATAATGAAGAGGCTCTCGCGTTTCGAGGCGAAATATCGTTGTCCACGGTGTCGTTCTCATTGGAAAGAATCCTGGTGAAATATCGATTTTACGTCGTGTATTTCGCCTCTGCTCGCGAGCAGGAGACTTCCTCGTAGCTTTGTAAATAATAACAGACTCGCGTGTGAAACGTCGAAGGTAAACATGTCGAACGAAGACTTTCTGTTCTAACTTACTTTCTTGTTTTCCTTTCTTCCCGCCTCGTCGAAGAATTTTATTATTACGTCATCGTTCGTCAAAATCGGAGGGAAAGAAAGGGTAATGGCTCGTCGTTTCAAACGATGTATAAATTCTTTTAAGAAACAAGTTCCAGGTAACGTCGATTAAAGAGGGACTTTGTCAAAAAGATCCCGTACGTCGTAAAAATCTTGTTGTATCTTGTGAATAAAAGGCAGGGGAACAATGGGGACACATTCGGTTGATGGACTCGAAACGTTTTCACGAATTAAAGCGTCTAATTTCTTCCATTACTGAAACGATACGCCAACCGAGAGAAAGAGAGAGAAAGAGAAAGAATCGTAAATGTCACGACGATTTTCTCGTAAACTCGTTAAGAATAATTCCTCGTTAAAAGTATATTCTCTCTTTCACGTTCAAATATTAAGCTATAACTCTTAAGTGTTGTAGAAAGAGGGCATTATACGGTTAAGACTATCGCGAAATCACATCAAAAACCACGTTTAATTGCCCCGTGTCCTTTTTAATTAACGTTTATCGTTGACCCATTTGCCGGTTCAACAAACCGTATCCGAATATAATTCTTCTTTCCCCCGCAATCGATAATTTTCACTTTAATATACGACATTAATTTAAACCTACCATTTCTCACGAGATCACGACCTTCTCTCTCTATCTCTCTCTCTCTCTTCTCTCCTCTCTTCGCCACCACGGATTAGATCGCGTTTCGCAATTCAAAGATTTCGATTCACAGATGTTGATTCTTTCGATGTTTTATGTAAACCGTGCAATTTCCAATTGACGTTAAAGCTTGGCTATTAAACTTGGAAAAAGACAGAGAGATCCAAAGCGAGAGAGAGAGAGAGAGAGATGTTCCCCTTCAGTTTAGTTGCCCAAAGAAGCAACGAAAATAACGATAGAAAAGAAAAAAAGAAATCGACACGCATCGCGTTGGCTTAATATAACGAGAGGATTTATACTCGGCGCGACATCAGAGTGACGTTACAAATGAGTGGCTAAGTTTGCTGTTGCGGTTAATTAATGGACCCGGACGGTATAACGCGGCGTTAATCTATGGTGCAATAAACGTAACGCTGGCCAACGTAAAAATCCAATCAAAATGCATTAATAACAGGAGAATTAATGCCTTCTCGGCGGCGGTGGCTTGCACACCGGCCCGATATCGCGTGCATATTCACGTCCCGTCGCGTGTACGTGTTCGTGCCGCTCGTAAATGGACTAATTACTCGCAATTACGCAACGGCCGAGCAACGCTGGTTTTTCTTTTTCTTTTTCTCTTCTTTTCTTTTCTTTTTTTTTTTTTCCATTTTACCAGCCATTAGTTCCTCGTATTCCCACCGAATTACATAATAATATTCAAGCGATGGGCGTTGAACGTTAAAACGACCGATTTAGATATCTAGCATCATGTAGGATAACAGTTTCGAACGATCGGGCCGCTTGTCGCGTTGTTAAGAATCGCGTTCCACGCCACTTTCAGATTAGCCACGTGGGGCAATAACTCTGGGGAAAGTGCGGCCTGCCTTAACGTCCACGCGTGTAATCGAAATCCATCTTTTATACCCGCTCGATAAAAGAAAAAGAATTATCTGCTTCGTGCAATTATATCCTAACTTAACCTCCTCCTCATCATCATCTTGGCGATCTTTGAACGATTCTCTGTCCGATCGATCCATCCATCCACGTTCCAGATTTATGCAACGTATCTCTTATTCGAGAAACCCGGGTAGACCCATCGAAAAAACGAAGACGAAGATAGGACTCGGTGATAGATGGAGTCGCAGGTAACGCGGGCGGAATATGTCGATCAAACGCGTGGTTTCCACACGTCGATGGACTCTCTGAAATCGCCCATTGTCGACTCGCGCTGCTTAATAGGATCGCCAATCGTATCCACGATCGACCATCGTTCGATTTCCCCTCGACTCGTCTTCGTCCCCTCTCGGCAACTGAACTTGATGGCGATTGCGTAATCGAGTTGTGACCAGGCCACGTTTCCACATCCAGACGTCTGGCTACGTTTTCAGCCCTCTTACTCTCGTTTTCTTTCTCCTTTCTCCTCCAGGCCGTTCCCACCTTCCGAGAACACGCTCGTATCCCCGCTTGTCTCCTTCTCCTCGCTCCTTTTCTTCGGCAAATCGTGCACAACACCGGACCGAGAAATACGCTCGGTGACTTGCATACAATAGACGAGAGTGATGGGCAGTTTTCTGAGCGATCCAGAGTCGTTGCAACGCGCGACAGCTGTCACGACGGTTCTTACCGAAAGAGGGAGAGGAGGGGCGCGGCTCGATAAGAGTCGAGAGAACGAACCCACGAACGATCGTAGCTGAATCGTAGGAAACGTATCGAATACATTTGACGATATCGTCTCGTATGGTGAAGATGTTTATAGCCAATCGTCGAACGAGTATTACACTTCGAACGGCGCTGCTTTTAGAAACAATCGTCCGATCGTCACGGTAGGTGTTCACTGCGCGACTTATCCTCTTGGTGTCCTCCTCTTCTCGTGCACGAGCGAGCGTAAATGCGCGAAAAATCGAGAGTTCGAACCCCCCCTCGTCTTCCTCTTCCATCTCTTGACACAATTTTGAAGTTTAACCGAGAAATAAAATTGTTTATCGACGCGAACATCGGATACGTCGATAAACAGACGATACTTTGTTTCGAAGCGAAGCCCGGGAAGGGTCATTAGAAGCCGGTCAGGTGCGTAAAGAGAGACTGGCAGCAAATGGCCGGTGTCGCTTTTCAATTGTACTCGTTGGATCGTATAAATTTTGAAAAGGCACACGCGGGATATCTCTAGAAATTGACCAAGGACTCGGGACTTTCGTTCCTTGGTGAAGAAAATGAGCGGGCAACCGCTATGGAGATTATGAAAGTGATCGGGCGTACGTGTGCACACGCAGTAAATCTAAAGGGAATCCAGCACGAGGTTTTATGTTTCACCGCGTTCAACGCTTCTCCGTTGCATTTGAGCGCGAATTACGCAATAATGCGGAACAATTCTTGGTTTTTTTTTTTTTTTTTTCTTTTCACGCGTTTGTCACCCTCTGTACAGAGAGCATTCGTTTCTCCTTATCGATTTGTTTCAATTCGATCGCACGATAAAATTGTCGGAGAGTAGGCGAATTTTTATATAGCGAACACAATGAAACAAAAAAATATGTTAAATTATGCCTTTGTATTAAAACAACAACTTATTGCATTCAAAATCAAAAATTACTCTTTCCTTTCCTACGCGACGATATCTCAGAAATCGGAAGTCAGAATCGAAATGAACCAAAAAAGAGCAAAGTTCTGCATTTGTAATGATCGTTATAACACGATTAGATCAAATTTTAAGACACATTGCGCAATTAATTAATTTACATACGACGAACATTCGCTTGTACAAGACAATACTCGTTACTACTCGTTGCATAACGATAACGACAGATTAACCTCCCTACGAAGTTATGTCATACTCATCTTATCAAAAATCTGAAGGCAGATCAGAACGCCTTGCTTTTTATATCTTTAAACTCGATCTCACGACTCCTACTTCTTAGCCTTAGTTTCTCAATTCAACGAGCCGTGCGATAATTTCCCCTCTACTACTAAGTTTCACTGATCTGTTGCAGGCGAGAAACCGTATCAGTGCACATGGGAGGGTTGCACGTGGAAATTCGCACGTTCCGACGAATTAACGCGGCACTATCGCAAGCATACGGGCCAGAAGCCGTTCAAGTGCCATCTTTGCCAACGATCGTTCTCGCGGAGCGACCACTTATCGCTTCACATGAAAAGGCACTGATAAAAAAGAAGGACCGTCTTAGCCCATGGAAGGAGAAGAAAAAAAAAAAAGTGGAACGAGGGAAATGGAAAGAAGGAGAAAAGAGACCGCCTCGTCCCGGGAATTTGGGGACCTCGTTTATTATTATTATTATTAGTGATCATGGACGACGACGACGACGACGACGACGACGAAGATGATGATGATTCTTTTATTTTTTTTTCTTTTTTTTTCCTTTTTACATTCGGGACCTGAAACAGCCTCCACGTTGTTACTCGAGTCACGTTGCATCGTGAAGAGTTCGGAGGCGGAAACTAGGAGAAAAAAAAAAAATGAAGAAGCAAACGAAATCGTTCATTAGATTTACGAGTTTAATCTAATGGAGGTGTCATTGCGGATTATCGGCGTATAATCGCGCAAGCCTGCTAGCAATCGTGAAACGTTGTGAATTTATTTCCTTTTTTATTTTGTTCTTGTTGAATATCGCCTGCCCCCTTACGGGGAGGGGAACGAATTTCTGTTTTCAATTTTCATTATTTAATGAGCGAAGCTTGTGTGTAGCGTGTAAGAATTGTTGATATTTAAAGATATTTGATTTAAAATTTATTTATTCTTCGTGGTGCGGTGGTTTATTTTAAGGAATCCTACGAACGGATCGTAGGAAGCATAGCTTCGACGATGAAAAATGAATTTTGCATAGAGAAGAGAGAAGATCGATTGCTATGGGTTTCCCGCAAGAAGCAAGCACGCGGTAACGCGTGATTTTTGTTTTCTTTTTTTTTTTTCTTATTTTTTAGCAAATTTATACTTCTCGTTCGTATTTTCCAGTTTGTTTTCATTTTTTTTCTTTTTTTTTTTTTTTTTTTTCTTCGTACGGTTAAATAAGGCCAGCTCAACTAGTCTAGAGCACCATATGTATCGTATATTGCGAAAAAAAAAATAGAGCCAGTAAAGGGGGAAAATGAAGTAAATATCGTTATAAGGTAATTAAACGGTAAAAATAAGTAAAAGAGAATATCGAACTCCGGTGACGGAGCTTGGGACTTAGCATGCTCAGTTAAATAAACTACAAATCGTGATCGTTAAACATTTTTTAATGCATTGAGATAGCGATTTATCAGATTATGCACAAAGAATTTCGCGTTTAGGGACGGACAATCATCGACGTTTTCAATTCTCAAAGAAAACGAGGGAATTCGAACGCTCTGAAAGCCAGTATTACGTGTGCATTAAGCAATACAATTGTGTATGCTTATCCGACCGCATTGCGATGCTTTTTCCACGTGTCTTTCTTCGTTTCAATCGTGCTAATCATTCTTCGATCGTACCGATTTAAGCGAAAACGGTACATCGTTTCGCCGTATACATACACACACACACACACACACACACACACACATACACGTACAAGGTGCCAAAGTAGAAGGTGCAAACTTATAGATGCGAGTCAAGACGCCCAATTACGCTCAATTATTATTAAACGAAGAAATAAGAAGAGGAGGAGGAGGAGGAAGAGGAGAAAAGAGCAGATCGAAGAATTATTTTTTAAACGCTTTTGCATCGTTGTCAAATATACGTGTGCCACGTGTGTCATGGCGAAAATGAAAAAAAAACGAGCTTCGTTTCCGCACATTTTATTTTGGCATCTGTTCCGAACGAAACGAGATAACTCAAGGGATACACATATATTTTGGAGACCAACCGAAAAAAGAACGCGAACTCTGTGCTCGAGGAGAATAAAAATCGAGGAGAGAAGAATTTCTAATTTAAAAAAAAAAAAAAAAAAAACGACACGTTCCTCGTGGATTTGGAAAAACAAATAGATAAATAGAAACGAGAGGATCGTACAATTGATGATGCATCTCGAGTCTCATCAAATGCGTCAAGTGCATAAGCGAAAGTTGTTGATGAAAAATTCTATACACACACACACACACACACACACACACATATATATATATATTGTATCGAAACATATCGTACGAAGGCATCGACTCTGTGCGTCGTAAGTAAAACCGGGCTACTATGTCACGTGACACGTTCTCAAACGAAGCTACTTGTGTGGGAAGAAAAAAGCAAATGGAAAATGTGATTTCTACAGAGACGCTTTGTTACGATAAAAATATTGTAAGATATAGGAGAATGGCTATCTATTCTTTTTCTTTTTTCCTACGAAGAAGCTACGTTTAGAGGAAGTTTCCCGTGGCCTTCGCCAGACGTATCGCGCGAGAATCGGATAACTCGAAGAGCTTGTAAATAATTTAGAAACCTTGAGTAACGCGACGTCTCCCTACGTACAGCACACATGTAGCATTCCCCAGTTTTCTTCGAACTTCTATCTCCTTTTCGTTTAATATTTCTCCTCTCTCTCTCTCTCTCTTCTTCTCTCTTTCTCCTCTATCTATCTCTCTATCTTCTCTCTCCTCTCCTCCNCT